CCAGAACCGTGCCCGTGTGCGTGCTCAGCCTCCAAAGTCTACACTGGGCGTGTGCGTGACCTCCTGCAGCCAGGTCGAGCGTCCCCTGACCTGCCGAGGAGAACACAGGCACCCAGGAAGCCTGTGGGAGCCGACAAAGCCGCTGGCTGCGGTGACGGCCTTCCTGCTAGACCCACAGCACACCCCAGGAGAGCACACCGGGCCCAGTCCTCGCACGGTCGTCCTCTGGGCTGCCCGCCCAGACACCTTCCTGGCATGGGACGCATTTTTCTGTTAAAACCTTTCATTTTCTTCCTTTCCTTTTTTTTTTTTTAATAAGTATTCATTTAATTGTATGTATTAGTTATTTTTCTTCAACTCGACCACAGAGAGAGACGGGGAGTGGGAGTCTAGCAGCTTAACTACCGTGTCACCTGCTGGCCCTAAAATCTCCAGTTTTCTATTAAAAACTTCTCTTTTCAGACTTCACTCATGTTTGCATTCTGCATCTCAGGGCAGGTCTCTAACCTTAGAGTATCCCGCACACATCAACAGCTCCCCGAGCCGTGAGTGCCAGAGACAGGGTCACGGGACCACCTTGGAGACTGGCTACCACGAGGGGCTGGCCATGGGGACAGGGTCTGGCGCTTGAGGACAGCTACGGAAGGAAGCCCAGGGTACCCAGCAGGCCAGGGAGATGCCCCCAGGAGGTGCCCCACAGCCCTCAGAGTGCGAGGCCACCCCCAGCTCCCAGCCCCGCTCTGCACGGCATGCTTGCCTGGAGTAGGGACCGACTGCACCCCACCTGAGATCCGGGCTCAGTGGGGAAAACGAGTCCTCGTGCTCGGGGAAGAGTCAGCATTTGCTTCTGGGGACGCTGGCTCACCTTGCCCTGAGCAGATCGACCCCCGCCCAGCTGCCAGGGAAGCAGAGCCAGCTGCCCCGGCGGCGCTGTCCACAGGGAGATGGAAAGAAAGGTGCCTCCACCTCAGAGCTCTCCAGACAGTGCCCCAGACCCCAGGGAGCAGGCCTGGAGAAGGGACAGCGGACGGGGAGGGAGAGCCACTAGGACACTGGCCCTTGTGCACGGTCCTGGCTGGTCACTCCTCTCTCAGCCTCTGCTGGCCACTCACAGGGAAGTGAGACTATCCTGCCACCCCCCACCCCCCGCCAGCTCAGAGATGGGGCGCAGGGAGGGCAGAGTGGACACGGACCGTGGGCTGCTCTCTGCCAGGCTTCTAACGGCGTGTCTTTGTTTAAGATTCAAACACGCACAAGCCCACACACATACATGCACTCACACGCATGCCCACCTTGCCTGACAATGGTCATTCGGCCTTCAGGACAGCCCAGGGGAGACAGATCTTTGCCCCCAGGAGCCCACTCCCCTCACAGCATCATACTCGACCCCCACCCGCCCATCTCAGATGCCACTCCAAGCAGTGGCTCAGGTCACTCCAGCTCAGACAGGACAGGCTGGGGCCTCTCCCAACCCTGCCTGGGAACAGGAGGCCAAAGAGTGCAGTGGGCAGCCTGGCAGGGGGGCAGAGCCGGCTGGGTTCCCAGGACACACTGCCCACTCTGACCTTCCCACAGGCCCAGGGCCTGGCCAGAAGCACCCAGCCCTGCTACAGACCCTAGCAGCTACAGGTGGGGTATGGATCCTGTCCTCCCAGCGACAAGCCCGGAAGGGGACGTCTCCCTCCTGGAGGCCCCTGACTCCGGTTCAGCCACGGCCCAGCCACCCTCCAGCACAGACACCGCAGAATGCGAGCAGGCTCCCCAGGAAGATTTGCCGTGCCCAACCTGGTCTGGGGACCACCCAGAGTCCCTCCCTTCCTGTACCTCCCCCGTCGGTGGTCCTCACGAAGCCTGCAGGAGGATGTTGGCCACAGGGTGCCCTGCCCGTCTAATCAGGAGCCTTCAGCAGCAGCCTGGCAGGTTCCTTTCTGACGGAGGGGCAAGCCAGAGAGGGGCGGGGAGTGGCACGGTGTCACCGAGCTGCAGACACGCAGGACGAGACCCGGGTCCCTCCCAACACCCCAGGCTCTGAACCAGGACCTGAACAGCTTTCCCTGAAGTGACCTGCTGCTCTGCTTGTCCTCAAGGCCCCAGGCGGGGGGTGTACCAGCCCGTGGGCATGGGGGCGGCAGACGCCCGGAGCCTGGGACTTCGTGAAGTCGGAGTCCAGGAAACCAAGGCTCATGGAGCAGCTTTCTGGAAGACAGTGAGACCACCACAGGGAGCAGAGGCTGGCCCCGCCCCCAGCGGCTCTGGAGGAGGGCAGGG